TCCAACAAATAAGTCACCTTGTATATTTTGAAGCTTAAAGGTAGATATATTTTAATGATATTACCTTTCCCAAAATGCAACTCATAAATACAGGGTTTTGAATAAATCGTAATAATTTTATGTTGTGGTTCTCTCAATAAAACACCCTGTATAAGAAATGTGTACTGTACAATATTTTGTTGTCAAAAAACCATATTGAGTAGTACTTTTTGAAAATATGCCTCTCTGACCGCACATTAGAATTAGTGTAATTTTACAAAAAATTAGAGTCATACATTTGTGAATCACCCTGTAAATATACATATTTTTATTTGTACGTATGTAATAAGGTATTACTAAAACTCCTAGTAAACGTGTGTATGCATCAGAAGTTCAATCTAGCTCGTAAGTTTGAAAATAAAAATTCCCAAAACTGGGCAATTTTCAACTTTAACACCCCGTATATCGAAAACTAGTCATAGGGGTGAGTTGGGCCCATTGACTCTTTTGGTTACTAGGTTGACTACAACAATATACCAGAGTTTCAGAAAATTTGACGGGTCACAACTTTACATAAGAAAAGTGCGGGGTCCTTTGCTTTCAAATTGGACCGGAGATCATTTTGTAAAAAAAATCTAAGCATTGTCGTACCGTTGTACCAATAATGATCTTAAAGTTGGTCAATGGAAACCAATTTTTAGTAAGAAAACCCAACGAGGATTTTCTAATAACCAGTAATTAGTGCTTATTATGATGGTGTACATTCTGCCCGGATAGAGAAGATTATGTAAACGTAATAAACCCGTGCATTTGTTATGGCTGCTTGAGATAAGCCAAAATATGTACTGTCTACTTGAGTCACGGTACTGATTTCCAACAAATTCACGCCACTGTAATTTAGCAAAGCGATATATTACCATGGTAAACGTTTAAGAATAACGCAAATAAGTTATCGACGCATAGGACGGTACATACTCTCCTCTATACGAAAGGATTATAGGACTCGACTGTTCCATCAATATGAAAACGGTCCATATAATTTGATCAAGGACGTTTGGATTCTCTTCACTTAAAACTTGCATTTTTGAGTTATACAGTTTTTTTGCGATTAAAGTTAGTAGGTTTAAGTTCCTTGGTGTAAGTAAATACATTTTAAATGGATATCTATACTCCTTTACAGATGATTTGCTAATACCAACCTATTTTGATATTGCTCTAATAGAAAAATATAAGAAAAAGGTTTCAAATAAACCAATATAATAATATACAAATATTATCATCATCATTCATAAGAAAATGTCTGACGCAATGAATGTCGATGATCTAGAAAACGTTGCTGATAAAGCCTTGCAGCATCACGAGCATCATGAGCATCTATACTCATTCTCCAAAGACTAGTTTCATTATTTATTAGTGTGTTATAATTTGTGTTCCACTGACATTAAATTTTTAACAAAAACAATGCATTCTGTCATTGAATTTGACATATATAGTTTTAGTTTTTATTAAAAATTGTTCGAAAGTCGTAAAATAGTAGGTTAAAGGTATGTAATTAAATAATTTTTAATGTTTAAATGAATACAATCTTAAAAATCATTTTTCTAAGTCTACTGTCACTATAATTGTAAATAGAACACAAAATACGTCACTAATATAGCGTATAATTAACTTTTAATAGAAAACAATAACGGTTGCCATGTAATAGGTAACTAGATTGTCAAAAATTAAATGTAAATTCGTCAAAACCTTAGCAAATTGCACTCAAATAAAGAGTGGTCCACACACAGAACTGAAATTGAGAATGGATTTGATGTCAATTCTTGCTTAAAATTTACGTTCCGTTAAGGAGATTCAAAATTGAGGTTTGAGTTTGCGCAGTGAGTATCTGTCAATTGTCATTTGTGAAAGTGATTTGAAAATAAATGTTAATTTTGTTCATTTAAAAACAATTTTTGGGACGATTAACCGCGTATTGTACAACCCGCTGTTAATTTTTTTCTGAAAACATTGTTATATATATTTTCAAATTATGACCCTGTTTGGCACCTACTGGGCAAACTCAAAAAACCTTAATTTTATTCCCCTTGTAGGAACGTTTTTGTAAACTGTCAAATCCATTCTCCTAATTTCAGTTCTGTGTCCACATAAAATGTTTTTAAAGTCGGCCATGACTGACAAAGACAAATACGAGTCTACGAGTGATAACTACGAAAATAGAAGATTTGTACTCAGATATACGTTATTTTTCGAAAAAAAGTTTACGGATCACTCCATAGTTTGTAAAAATGATTCGTTAAAATCATGAAAATTTTATAATTGCTGGTAAAAAATGGAACATCAGTAGAATAAATATTAAGTGTGAATTTAAAATAAAATCCATTATGAAATTAACCTAAAAAATATAACAGATACTATTTGAAAAAGTGAGGATAGGGCGCAATATACATTTTTATTTGTCAGAAAAAAAATATACCTTAAAATATGTCTTGTTCAAATCCATATAACTTTTATTTGCCTTTGTTTGTGTATCTATAACACAAATTGATTTATCGATGGGACACCCTGTATAATATATGAATATTCTTACGTAATTTATCATTATTTCCAATAGCATTCGTATAGTAATTGTTATTTAGAAATTTTTCTCGTCCATTTTTTTCGTCGTACACTTCGGAATCGTATGCAAGTTGCTAAAACGTGATATATTATCAAGAATTTTACGAAAACAAAAGCATATGTTTGTTAATTGTTTTTAGGGCATCGATTATTTTGCGACCTAATTTAGTGTATGCAAATATCTTAAGCACATCCGAATTTTTTTTCGCGCATATTTACCCAGTATTTTCACATAGTCCGATTGCATACATTAAATAATTTATACTGTTCCAAGAGCATATACCCTAGACAAAAGAAAGGTTCGGTTGTGATTTAAACGGTTTAGTTTTAATGCGGCTGTGATAAATGCCGCTCGGTTTTAATATAACCCTAACTTTAAAATATCCGTGTCATATCAATCGTTTGTGTTTTGTGTATTATTAATAACAATATATTGTTTTCAGTTTTTTTAATTATTGTAGGTCCACCTCTGTTTGCAATGATACAAAATGCGGGGTTAATTTTGGCCACGTAAAAATAGGGGACGAGTTTAACTTTATTGTTTCTAACAAGAAGTACAGTTAGTCTTTACGATAACCAAATTGATTTAGTTAAGAGCGTTCCGTTTTAATATCTAATTGCATTTAAGAAAATCGTTGTAAGGAAAAGTAATGAAATAGTTTTAAAACGCAATATTTACTGACCAAATTCTCCTAAGATCAAGCAGATTTAATAAAAGGTTTTATTAGTTATATTAAGAATCTCTTTAAAACTACTTAAAAACTAAAACGACACAATCTAGAACATAATAAAACCAAACAACCTGCAAATCCTTCATAAAACTAAGTAGTTTAAAAGTTAATTAAAACTAAACCATTTTAAAATTACAAGACAAAAAACTTTTAAGATTAATTGCCCTTATTAGCGAATCTAATTAGATATTTTAAAACCAGTATTAAATGCTAAACGGCTTTTAAGTGCCCGCAGTATATCTACAAGGTAGCTTTAAAACCAGTATCTTCTTATTTTCTACATTAAAACCATTTTAAAACTGAAATAAACCCAAAATGTTTTTATGATGCTACTTGGGTAAGATGTTTTTTACTTGTAAACGGATTTCTTTTAAAATACTGACGATTTGACGTTAAACGCTTATCAAAACAAAGGAGTCCTTCTAAATTCTACACGTTTCAATGACGGTATACTACAAAATAGTTGAGTTCTCATACAATACGAAAAGTTTGACATTTACTGATTAGATGAACAGAGGCTTTCTGTTAAAATAAAGACGTTTTAATGCGGATATCGTATAAAGAAAAAGAAAGGATTTTTAAATGTGTTACATACGTTTCAATGATCGTACTTCATAAAATAAAGAAATTATAAAATACTAAAAATTTGACATTTAATACTTATACATAAACAGAGAATTTCTGTTAAAATACATTTCAAAAGTCGTATGTTCTAAAACATGATTTCTAATGAATTAAAGACGTCTTAACGGTAACATTATATAAAAGAAAGGATTTCTCATAAAAAACTGAGTTTTCGTTTAAAACAAATAAAAACAAAGGATTTCTCATAATTTGCAAACGTTTAAAATATGATATCTCATAAAATAGATAATTTCTCATATAATACTGAAAGTTTGACGGTTAATAATTAAATGAACAGAGAATTCATGTTATAATAAAGACGTTTTAATGCACATTTCTTATAAAACAACCAATTTTTAATAGTATTATCTTATAAAACAAAGGATTTATCATAAAATACTGAAAGTTTGACGTTCAATACTTATACATAAACAAAGGGTTTCAGTTAAAATATAGACGTTTCAATGCGCATACTTTATAAAACAAAGAATTTCTCATAAATTGAAGACGTTTCAATGGTCGTATCTTCTAAAACAGTATTTCTCATGAGTTACAGACGTCTTAACGGTCGTATTATATAAAATAAAGGATTTCTCATATTTGACGTTTAATACTAATAAAAAGAAAATATTTCTTGGTGGGATCTTATAAAAAAGGATTTCTCATTAAATACCGAAAGAGTTTAACGTTTAATACTCAGATGAAATAAACAAATAAAGACGTTTAAATGAACATATCTTATAAAACAAAGAAGTACTTAAAAATTGCAGGTTTCAATGGTCGTATTTTATAAAAGAAAAAATTTCTGATAAAATATTAAAATTATTAAAAAATATAAACGTTTCGAAACTTTTCTGACATCCTCAAAAACATTACAGGATTATTATACCGAAATCGCTTCGATTTAAAAACTTAAAACCGCAACTGACAAAATTGTAATTTATTTTAACCTTTTAAATGGTTTTCTATCTATTGTTTCGTTATTATTAATCATTGCGGTTTAAAAGGGGTCATATCTGAATACTAAGTAATGGTTTTATTTGTACTTACTTTTTGTCATACAATTAATGGTTTGGTAATTTTGGTAGCAGCAGCGGGTTAAGTAAACACTATGTCACCGGGAAGGTGAACAAAACAAAAGTGTTAATCACAAATATACATTGAAAAATGTTGCGTTTTCAATGAGAAGTCGGTTGATATAAAAAAGCGGAATCCCGCGTCGCGGATCCATGTGCATATTGAAGATGACCTTCTCGGTCCCCACCAGCCAGCGGCGGAGATACGATGTTTTTCTTTAGGTATTTTCCCGATGCCGATTATGCTGTACATCCTGGAAATTGTTTTTTCTTTTTAGCCGATGCATCTTGGAAGAAATTTTTAATTTTATATTGGCAAAAAATATTTTGTTGTGCCTTTAAATAACCTTTTTATTTCTAAATACCTACAAATTTTTCTTTATTCCAGAGCGCTCAGAATATTATGACAAGTAGATAATATTCTATAAGAATGTGTATAGGATTTTTAAGAAATATTTTTTTCTTTCTGTGTCCTCTTTCTTTTATCCTTTCAGGTATCGGATGCATTTTATGGGGTTCTTCCAGCCCTCTTTTTCTTTCCTTTTTCTATTGCGTCATCATTTTTATCTCTTCTAATGTGTTCCTTTTTCTTCTTTCCTCCCTGCTATTTGTTGTATCCATTTTTCCCTTGGTCTCTTTTTTCTTTTGTTATTTTTTGACTCGCATACTTTTCTTGTTATTCATTTGGCTTCCATCTTCGTCAGATGTTCATACCAATTCAGTTGGTATTGGATCAATTTTATGGGGTTCTTTCAGCCCTCTTTTTCTTTCTTTTTTCTATTGCGTCATCATTTTTACCTCTTCTAATGTGTTCCTTTTTCTTCTTTCCTCCCTGCTATTTGTTGTATCCATTTTTCCCTTGGTCTCTTTTTTTCTTTTGTTATTTTTTGACTCGCATACTTTTCTTGTTATTCGTTTTGGTTCTATCTTCGTCAGATGTCCGTACCAATTCAGTTATTTTTATTTTCATTATTTGTTCTCGTTTGTGCCGAGTAATTTATTAAAAATGTACTCGGGTACCGGGTACGGAGTACCAAAAATGCAGTACTATAGACAGTAATTTAATGTATGAAAAATGTCATTGAGTCAAAGTTTAGAGAAATTTTTGGATGTTACAGAACAAGGTTTTTTTCAATGGTGGGCATATATTGTAATTTCATATATGGCAGCATTCTTCGCACATTCTTGGCATTACATTACTGACTATTATTTGATATTCAAGTGTAGTACAACATTCAAGTACTTGTACTCGGGTACTGCCCAGCTCTGTATACAAGAAATAAAAGACTTCGGGATCTCACGTTCACTTAGAAATACATATTAATAAAAATAATAATAAATTCATTAATATCACTAGCATTAGTATATACCTACGCTCGATCATTTCAATGGACGTACAACTTTACTGTAACTCTGTCATACAGGACTGCACACAAGGAGGAATACTATTTTCAATATTGTCGTCAGTTCCAGTGGACGATCTATTCAAAACATTGCCCAAAAAAGGCTATCAGTGCCTAGAATACGCAGATGACCTAGCAATTATGGCGAGGGAGTGATTTGCAGGCACAGTCTTAAAGCAATCACAAACAGCTCTAAACATAGTAAATAATTGGTGCTAAAAGGAGAAAACAACAGTTGTATCACAAAAAACACTACTTAGGAATCGGAGACCACTAAAGTACTAAACAATATGGTCATTCCATTTGTCACCAAAACCAAATACATCGGAGTCATATTTGACCACAGCTGACGTTAAGAAACTCACATACAAAGCTACTATAGCTCTCGTAAGCTGTAGAAGAATATGTGTGAAAAACTGGGGCCCAAGTCCCAAAACGACTATTTGGTTATGCACAAGGACGATAAGACCCATTATGGTGTGGTGGCGTGGGTAACCAAAACCGCACAGGCAAGTGCAATATATTAACTTACCGGCATTAGGCGGCTAACTTGTCTGAGTGTCACAGCAACTGCAGCAATGAAGGTACTATTAAAACTCACACAACTGCATTTCTTCATACAAGGAGAAATCATACAAAGCTATACCTACAAGTAAAAAAAGGATAAGATTCTAAGAATGCCTACTGATGCCACATACAAATTTAAATAAAATTTTCAAATTCAAATACTACCCCGAGAATCCTGGAAAAAGAAACCTCACAGACTGAACACGTCTGGTATGCAGATGGTTCAAAAACCAAATAAGGAATTTGGAATTTTTGATCCCAAGTCAAAAAACATCCATTTTGCTGAGTCTAGAAGAAAACGCAACAGCGTTCTAGGCTGAACCTATAGCCATACAACACTGTGCAAGAGAATTGATAAATGAACAAGTATTGCCGGAGATACACATGCAAGCAAATTGTGCTAGTAACTTACATGCCAGTAGCTTGCATGTGCCAGTAGCTTGCAGACGGAGGATACATTTGACAGTAGCTTACAAGCCTTCGGGATCGCGGAGATTTCAAATAGGTTAATACAACGTTTCACGCTAACCTGTCCCAGAATTTTAAAGTGTTTTTAGTTTTTAAATTTTCACAAATGGTCTTTCACGTAGAAAAGGTTCGAAGCGAATTAAATAGTGTAATAATGTCACTTGCAATAGAATGTGTACTCCAAATAATACAACCTAAACGGAGCAGAAGAAGGAGAATACGTATTTGGGTGAAAAATTGGATTAGCAGAAGGGAAACTTATGGAGCAAGTAGTTGTTTGCTTACAGAAATGCGACAGGAAGATATATATGGTTATAGAAACCATTTAAGAATGCTTCCTGAAAACTTTAAAGACTTGTTGGCCAAAATTGAGGACCAAATTACAAAAAAATATACCCATATGCGAAACGCAATCCCAGCCAGAACTAAATTGGAAATAACTTAAAGATTTTTAGCAACTGGTGACTCATACGTTTCTCTGGAGGCATTCCACAAACATTCTTACACTCTATATAAACGAATAAATTTTATGGTCTTTTAATATCCCCACCGAGACATGATGATACGGTATCAACAAAACGAAAAAAGAAAAAACTTGACGGTGATCACAACTTGCATGCAACTATTGACACGCTAGTACCTGTCGTCTGTGTTCACACAATCAATTTGGCATGCAGGTTGTAGCCTCCACCATCCAAATTGCACATTGCATGTCAAAAAATCAAATCTTGTTCAATCTTGTATACCATCTACTTGTATGCAAGTTAACAGATACACATGCTGGCATGCAAGTGTGCAAGCTACGGGCATGTGTATCTCCGGCTTATCAGGCAACACTATTGCCATCTAATTTGATAGCCAAGCAGCTTTAAAGTGAATTCTCTTAAAAGAGTGCCTAGGAGACCTGATAAAGCTAAGTAGTGAAGGCAATGTGACCTTAGTTTAAGTACCAGGCCACTAAGGATATCAAAAAGCTGACGAACTAGCCCGAGAAGTCTCAGATAAGAGTATGGCAGGCTTCGAACTCTTCTGTAGAGTTGCTAAGGCATATCAGATAATGGATGCAAAAAAGTTTCAGAAATGGTGGATCAACTGCCCAGGATTGAGACAGGCCAAACAGTAAGAAGGCACATGGGTATCATCAATCCAGCAGAAGAAGTAATATTGTGCAGGTTCTGTGAAAGGAAACAATCTATGTCCTGTACCAGTGTGAAGGCCTGGCTAGATTGATTTTTCTAACTGTAGGTGAAGAAAAACCAGAAGCAAGTAACTACATGCGGGAGTCACTGTCAAAGCTATTAAGTATAATTAAAAAGACCAAGCTAGACGACATACTCTAAATAAGAGTTCTACAAAAAAGATCTGAAAATTTTGCTGTGGATAAGGTCAAAATATTGTCCAACTCTTTTCGAATCTAATCTAATCTACTGTCACTCTGACAGCAGGCGAAATCTTACAATAATAACCGGTAAAGACAAAATAAAAGTTATTGGGATTTATTTTCTAAAAGAGTAACCAAACTTTGTTGTTCCAACATACCCAGCATGGTTTAAGACAATCGTGGATGTATCAGAAAATATTGCCAAATGCTTGAAGAACGTATAATATGGAATAATAGAATCAGTCCATTTAGTTAGAATCTTAGACTAGGTACTCTTTCCTTGTCTAAGGTTAGAATCTATATTATATAAATAGGCAAAGACCATTTTCTCCTCTGATTCTACACCCATTTACTTATTTTCAATTTTTCATTAGTAACTATTAGTGTTATCAATAAACAATTTTTGGAAACATTTACTATTTTTTCATGATATATGAAATCCACTGATCCACAATTATGAAATATGATTGACTAATAAATTTAGCATGTAGTGAAAATGAGCACTCTTTAATTTCGAACCGAAATAGACAATATTACAAGGACGGATAGAGGATTGTGAAAAATGAAAAAAAAAACTTCCCCCTCCCTCCAACTTTCCTCTCTCTTCCTCTGCCACGCCTAAATGGCAAGGGACAGAAAAAACTAAAAGCGGGCTCCGCCTGAAATGATTTTAAACCACCCATCTTTCCTCCCAGCACATGGGAGGTCGATATATAGAACCACTAGATTTAGGAAAATAAACGTCGGGTACGATGGATTAGAAAAAAATTTCACCAATCCACACTCCCCAAAGGACAAGTCACTTCGCCTTCCCTAAGTGTAGGTGGAGGGTAAATTCGCCTCTCTCTAAGTGAAGGTGGAAGGTGAATTGGTCTCTCCCTAAGTGTAGGTAGGCTATGAAACATTTTTTTAATAATTCGTGTATTTTGAGATATTGGTTATATAGATATTTAAAAAATTAAAAAAATTCGAAAAGTAGGTCGACATCCTTCCCCCACTCCTTTTTTTGTTAATGGTTATTTTCGATATGGTTCATAACTGGGTGCAAGCTTAGGTCGGATATAGTAGAGCGATGAGGGTTACTCACACCCAACTCCTCCTTTTTTAGGGGCCTCAAGAGTAACTTCATAATAAAAATTGTGTTTCATATATCATATCAATAAATGAGTATATTTAAATTGTGCGTTACTGTTACTTTATCAAATTTATTTTTTATGTAATTAAAATGGTATTGAACTATGTTGTATTGTAAGTACATACAGAGTATCTCATTAATAATGGGACACAGAAATACTAAAAATTCTCTGATTAAAAATAAGGCGATTAAACGA